TGCCTATCTACAAGTGAAAGTGGCTGAAGATTCGAGAGAGTTACTTACCATAAATACTCATCGTGGCTTGTTTCAGTACAATCGCCTACCATTTGGTGTTAAAACAGCTCCATCTATTTTTCAGCAACTAATGGATACCATTCTATCGGGTATCCCGGGGTCGCAACTTATCTCGATGATATCTTAATTGTTGCCACATCGTTAGAACAGCTTAGAGAACGCACGACAGCTGTACTACAACGCATCAGCGATAACGGATTCCGATTACGCCCAGAAAAATGTCAGCTTTTCTTGAAGTCAGTAAATACTTGGGATTCATCTTTGATGCCGCAGGTCGCAGACCAGATCCTGAAAACATCCGAGCTATAAAACTGGTGCCGACTCCCACTAATATCTCTGAGCTAAGTTCATTCCTGGGACTAATTAGCTACTACTCAGCTTTTGTTCCGTCGATGTATGACATACGCGCCCCACTAAATCATCTTTTGAATAAGAATACCAGCTGGAACTGGCCAAAAGAATGTGAAGCTGCATTTTGCAAGCTGAAAACGATCATAAGCTCTGAACTATTACTGACGCACTACGATCCGTCATGCCTATCATTGTCTCGGCAGACGCTTCTGCTTTTGGACTCGGCGCTGTCATTTCACATCAGTTCCCGGATGCAACATAGAAAGCTATTATGCACGAATCTTGAACATTTACTTCGGTGAAAAAAAGTACAGTCAACTGAAAAAAGAGGCTCTGGCCCTTGTGTTTGCGGTACGTTGTTTGCACAAATTCTAGTACGGTCGAAGATTTACTCTTCACACTGATCACAAGCCTCTTCTCACAATTTTGGGGTCGACATCTGGTGTTCCAGCCCATTTTGCAAACCGTCTCCAGCGATGGGCTTTGATACTTCTGGGTTATGATTCTGACGTTCAGTATCGGCGCACTCAACAGTTTGGTCAGGCTGACGCCTTGTCACGACTTATCAGCGAACACCCTACGGCCGGTGAAGATGCAGTTATTGCCTCCCTAATGACAGAGGGCTACGCGCAGTGTTACCTGACAACCGCTATTCGTGCTTTGCCAGTCTCAGCAGCTGAAATACAATCTGCATCCAAGAACGACTACTTAATAATGAGAGCGATGAAATACGTCACCAATGGCTGGCCGCCAACTGGACTCGATGGTGACTCGAAGCAGCTTTACCACCATCGGGACTCATTATGTGTCCTAAACGAATGCTTGATGTTTGGAGATAGAGTAGTGGTGCCAGAATCCCTAAGATCAAGGGTGCTAAGGCAATTTCACACTGGTCATCCTGGTATAAGACGAATGAAATCCATCGCCAGAAGCTATGCTTATTGGCCCCTCATGGACCGGCATATCGTGGAGTTAGTAGGCAAGTGCACGCAGTGTCAGCAAGCGGCCAAGTGTAACGTTAAGGTACTGCCGGTCCCATGGCGCCTTTTCGAAATGGCCAAAAATCGTTCCCGTCATGCCATCAACGACAACCCAAACGATGCAACTTTTGACAGAGATGTTCTCCCGCAACGGATAACCGGATATAATCGTATCCGAAAACGGTTCGCAATTCACCTCAAGTCAATTTCAAGAATTTTGCAAACGCCTATCGATCAAGCATTTCCGCTCTCCACCGTACCACCCAAAGTCAAATGGCCAAGCAGAAATATTTGTGGATACATGCAAGAGAGCCCTAATGAAGTCAAAAGGGGAGGGGACGCCAGTAGAAACACTGCAGAATTTCTCGTTTGTTTACCTTGTGATGTGCTACCACAGCAGAAGTACCCGGCAGAGATCCTGATGGGAAGGAAATTGAGGACGACCCATAGTCTGATGTGCCCAAGAACCACACCACCACCATCTCAGACCAAATCTCAGAAGCTTCCAGCCTACGAGTTCGGATGCCCGGTGTTCGCTTGAGACTACAGAGTAAATCATGGTCTTTGGATCGAAGCACGTGTGGTTGGGAGACGAGGCCAAGTTATGTACGAGGTAAAGGTGGGAAGAGACACGTGGACTAGACACCGAAACCAACTACGGAAGCGGATAGCTCCGGACCGCCCATCAAAAGGAGTAAATCTCCTCCTCGACATCTTGCTTGATACCTTCAACTTACCTTCAGCCCCACCACAAGGAGCTCAACAACAAGCTGATCCCCGTCCCAGAAGGTGGCCTCTCCGTCAGCGGCGAACTACGGTTAAGATGCAAGTCGATCCCAGAAAAGTACGCCATTAAAAAGGGGAGGAGTGTTGGGGACGATAGATCTCAAAAACTCATATTTTGTAATTTTATCATATCGATTAACTTATCGATTAAATTATTAATAGCGGTCAGTTGATGAACTCATTGATTAATGTTTAAAAATTTCCCATTGACAATATCGATTATATACATTTGTATATATACGTTTTAAATTTTGTTTGTGGGCTCGCTCGTTTTCTGGCTGTTTGCAGAATATATTTTCCATACCAAGCTTGGACTTCTCCTTCTAGATAGCGAGGCTGGAACGCACCACTAGCTAGATTACTGGTCTTTGTTCGCTGAGTCTTGTTCTCGTTCGCAGATTAAGTGAACTCGTGAAGCTTCAAACCTAACACAATCGAAGTAAGTATAATGGATGTTTTTAACGCAGTTAAACAAAGAGCACATTAAGACAGTGACTGGTACAATTGGCTGTAATAATTGTCTTCATCAAACCAATCGTGTTCTCGTGATATAAGTAAGTCACTACAAGCTAGTCAGACTAGCTGAAAGTAAAAATGATTTTTTCTATGGTTCTTGAGAGCACGGATGTTAAATTAATTGGCCTGTGGTTAACAATATCACTACGTGGTCCTGTTTTGAATCTAGGGGTGATAAGAGATGTTTTCCATACAGATGGATAGGTCTCATATTCCATAGATAGGTTGAGAAGTTTCGAACAAAATAGTGGGAATTTTCTACTCCCATATTTCACAAATGATGAAAGGATCCCGTCAGGTCCACCGTCATAAGACGTTTTCAGGGAAGCTTTGGCCTGCTTGATGTTGGAGAGTATAAAATCAATGTTCGATAGGTGTCTGGATATCAACATTGGAAATGTAATGATAGAGCTTTCAGTTCCAGTTTTGTAGCATTGCGAGAAGTGCTTGTTGAATTGTTCGCAAATAATATTAGGGTCGTCAACAATGCTTCCGTTAACTATGAAGAATGTAGTCGTGCCAAGGGAATTTGACTACACACGGGATTTAAAAAGCCGAAGTATTGATAATTCTGGGCTTTTACTACATGGGGCTTTATTTTCTATATTCATAAAATACTTGCGTTTAGATGAAGCATTTCTGTCGAATAATTTAAGTATACTCTGAAGTGCATACACTTCATTGTGCTCGTAGTAGCGGTATTTTAATTTCCAAAGCGAGGTTCGAATATATCGATGTTAATTGTGTGGTCAGTTATATAACTGTTATGATTAGTTGTCCTGTTGTCCGTTGCACAGTTACTGTAAGTGAGTGTTGCACTAACAGGGAGTTGGACAGTGTTATCCCATTCGTCATCAGCACAACAACTTCAGGTTGAATCTAAGTCAACATTCTTAAGAGGATGGACAACACCTACATCAGGATTGCTTTCTTATGGGTTTTGAACTTTAGGAGATTCAGAGGAGTTTTTCGGTGGCGGCATATTTTTAAAGCTAGACGTCCTCTTAGAATCGGACTTAAGTTTACGACCATTAGGATTATGATGCGTTTGGGAGCCTATCAAATACATCTTCGAACCTCCTCGCTCCTGTCTTCTGATTTCACTTGGTGGGCACGACTCATATTAGAAGGTAATACTGGTTAAGGTGTTGTCAAGACTCAAAATACCTGTGGCATCTTCAGTCTCACTTTACAATTTGTAATGAAATCCCACTTCTTATTCCTGATGATCAGACAATCCATATACTTGGTGATAATAATGATCTATTTCCACATAACAGTAAGTCAATTGAGGCAGCCCAGTTAAAAGCAAAAATAACGATGCAGTTAGCAAACAGTGAACACCTACCATGTTCTTATGGATCGTCCTATGAACATAAGTACTATCTGATGCCTTTTCGTATAAATGTGTCTCTTACAACCAATCAAGCGAGCCATTAACCTCCCAAAAGTAATTTCTGTGAAATCAAGTTGTGAACATTTGGTCTTGAAACAAGTATATCTGAACTGAGCTTACCCCTTTAATCTGCACATCACAAAGGCCATATGAAACTCAAAATAAGGAAGATGTATTTGATCATCTAGAGCGTGTTCCTCGTGTTAAAAACATAAGAACGTAGCATATCAAGAGAACTTTACTTCACTTGGTAAAACCAATGAGTTACATATGGTAGGAGACCAGAATATATCAGAGTATGATCAACTGTAGCTGAAGATGTAAGAGCTGGAAATTCCTTGACAATTAGTTAAGTGGGTTGAGAAGTTCCTAAGGGGCCGATAAAGTGCAATATGAACCAAATTGAAAGCCTCCTACTGAAAACCAGTATCGACCCGGTTGCAGTAGGACAAAGTATTAGTTATTAAGACGGGAAGCCAAGTGGTTAGAGATTTGGCGCTACTTTATTAAGAGAATGTCGAAATACAGAGGGGAGAGGTGAATAGACTTTGTGTTGACATGTTTTGCAACTATTCTAATATATGATTGGTACACTTCTTTGTAACTACTTATCTCCTGGAAAGTCTTCATGTTTACCTACTGAGTTATCACCTTACTACTGGCATAAGTGATGTTTGCAAACTTTCTGACTCATTGAGTGGAAGACTCACTGTTCAAAAAACATAGTAGATGAAATTAACATTTACTTGCAGTCTGCGTTCTTGGAAAGACAAACCTCCATCTCAAATTAGAAGATCGGTATTGAGTATTAAACAGTTAAAGCGCATAACATGAAATGCTAAAGCAGCTGTTTGGTCACATAGCTTCTAGAAGTTATGAGTGTATGAGTTGTTTTCTGTCTGTTCCATGGAATGTCTGATCAGTTTTCACCAAAGCCTGATGATCATAACTTGTCTGAAGGTTCTAATCAGAGGTTTTCTGAAGCACCGGCAACTTTACACTCAAGCACACCTTCAAAATCAGTGGCGTCATGTCCACTCGGTCGGACAGTTCATAACCTTTCATTACTAAGAGGAAGCAGCATCCACATTGGTCATGATTTAAAGAGCCCTTCACATAGATGGGCTGCCAGCGATCGCTTGCGCCTCATCCATTTTCTACAAGATATTCAGCTTGACCGAGCCTTAGATGTACTGCCGGATAACTGCACCTATGAAGACCTACTTAAATGTACACTAGAAGAGCTCCGTTCCGTGTTTACTGGGTGCCTCACGGAGTCCGAAATAAATTCCGTTTATTCAGACTTACATTCTTATGCCTCCAGTGGATATACAACCGAGTCGCATTCACGTTCTGAGGAATGTCAACTTAGACGAGTAAGGCTGTAAATTATACATTTGCTTTAATATTTATATGTAACACAACCAGTTGGAGATTGTTGTATCTAATTGTTGGTCTAGTATGTTTATGGAAATCACATCACTGAGGGATATCATTAGAAATGAAAAAACCAAGTGCAAAGGGATACGTGCTTAAGAAGACTGTGTACAACATAAAAAGACAATCACTTAAGCCTTATTGTTATACTTTTCAACCTGCACCTACTATGCCTATCTTTATCAGTTTGAATAGATGGCTCAGTAGTATACGTACCATATCCTAGCTCCCGTAACTAAATAAAAACCATGTGAATAACCCATTTTTATCTGCTGGTAACTTATTGCCCAACTTAAATACCATTTAATCAATAGTTATTTAAACTGCGGTCAGTTTCAAAACCAACTGTCATCAGATGTAGTCCCGTTTAGTTGTCTCACACAATATGACAGTGCACCGCTCTACGCGATAACCAATGCTTAGTGGACATTTATATGTTTAACTTTCCTACACTTTGTTAGCTGATGTCAGTTCGGGTTAGTGGCGTGGGTGCAGTTGAGTATTGTACCTCTTTTCCGATTTTTTAGTTAGAGTTTGAACCTTTTCATTATTTCTCGCAAATTGTATTCTAATTACTGGAAGTGTTTACGGCTTATCCAGTGCATTTATCTGGTTTGTGTGTTTCGAACAGGCTAAAGAACCTCGACTTCCTCTACTAATCTTCTCATGTTGGAATTATCATATTAGTTGGGAGTTTAGTAATATTCTGTGTACCATATGAATGCATTGTAAAATTCGTCGGTGAGTTACTTTCGACATACTCTGATAGCGAAATTCTGGCGTTGGTTGTTTATGATTGGCTACATATTACCGTTGCCATGTGATCAGTGTATATTGTTCTAAATGTGGTTAGCTTAAGTATCGTTTTCAAGTCAGTAGTCTTTTTTCAGTTCGTTAGTTGTAATTCCTTATTTTGAACGAACAGGTGTTTTCCCTTCATTTTAGTGTTCCGAAACTTGTCCGTCCGATCAAGTTAGGCAAATGTCCACGGGTGCCAATCGTCGTTCTCGTCCGCTCCTTGGCTCATTTTCGTGTGCATCATCAGAGCCCCATTCAGAATGCGTGAAAACTAAGTTGCATGCAGCAAGTTCGGGAACATCAGGAGAAGAGACGTCTATTAGTGAATGCAGTGCATCCAAAATGGATGCAGAACAACCTAAAGCTGTAAAACGGGCATCATCTCTTAGCTCAGGTGATATACCACAAATCCAATCAAACTACCGCCCATCTTCCTTGTCCATATCATCAGCTTTAACTGATAGCCACTCATTATCTTTACAGGAAGATGGTAATGCAAATTCCATTGGTTTTTCGGGACCATGTTCAACCTATACTGGTTTGACGAGCTCGGGGTTTTGAAAGATTTGCATTCACAAAGTGTTTGTGATAGTCAGTCCAAAGACTACTCGATAGCGAATTCTGCCCTACCAGTTTCTTGTAATATACAAAAACAACGAGCAGATATAAACGCATGTTCTGTAATTTCGAGTGCATCATACTCAGTTCCAATTTGTCAACAAGTCAGTAATGAGTTACAGTTGTCTCCGTTCTTTTCAAGCCGCTTGTCAAGTTATGATGGTTAGTTTTACTGTATATACTACTCTTCCTAGTTCTATCACATTTTTTTAAGGTGGGTTAAATGTTCCAAATAAAAGTCACCCATGAAATGTAGTTTTTCGAACTAATTTACTGATTAACCATAATTTGTCGATAACCTCGTACTATGATATTTAACAGGAAGCTTGGTACGTGGGTTGTACAGCTATTTTCAAAGAACGAATGTATGTACTTAACACTGGGTGCAGTCCAATTGTCTTTTATTTACTTTCAGTGTTCTACATAGAGGAGCCTTTAAAGGTTTTCTTTATAAGATTTACTCTTTGTTTTATAGTATGCTGACTAATTGACATGTATATTTTTATCCCCAGGACATTCCATCCCAAGTACTCTCCTACGAATAAAAGGTAGCTTTATTGGTCAGTCTGCACCGAACTTACTGTACTATAAGGTAATTTTTTCTCATTATTTATCGATATGATGTGAAAACTAATTTTATTGAAATCAGTGTGGTATAATTGCTTCATAGATATTGGTTATCATTAAGGATGCAGTATTGTATGACAAACATATAGTGAACCAAATAAATAGTAACTTTGTAGACCGGGGTAACCGGACACCTAAATAACTTGGGTAAGTTTCGGTATAGAGTCAAGGTGATTATTTTGGTAGGGGCGTCTTTGGGTCATTCCCACGTTTTTTCTGCCAATTTTCTCGTGTTTTTATATAATTTTATTTCATTTGACCATATAAGATCTTAAAGGCAGTACAATAAAAAAATCTACTCAGCAAATAATTGAATGCTTCTACTGAAATACTTTATATAAGTTTAAGAGCATACAGAAAATCAGTCGTTCATAAACCTAAGACTGTTTAGACAAGACAAGCTGCTGAGTCAGCTGGAAAATAGAAGCATACTCAGAGTAGACTTGTAACAGAATAGAAGGTTGAAGCAATTTGAAATAAACTCAGTTTTATAATGTTTCTCATGTTAACGGACATGATGCCAACCGTGAAAAAATAGTTTAACTCCTCTTAAGTTTAGTTCAAACTAGTATATAGATTCGCTGAGTGGAATAAATATTAGCCATTTTCTTATTTTCTAATTATAGTAAGAAGTAACCTCGTTATTCAATACCAATGATAATTAACCACAATTATTGTCTGCTATCCCCTTTTTTTAATTTCCGGGTTCTTATTCATAACTAAAGCGACAAGAACAAGGTGTGCAGAATAACAAATTCATCATATTTTAAGGTGTCTCATCGCCTTCAAGTGGCGTAACATTCACATTAGTTATATTATTATGAGCAAAATTTATTAAAATTTATCAAAGGATCAGGATATATGAAATTTTTTGTCTATACTTTTTAGCGTGATCCCAATTATAATCAATTCGTTCACTGTCGAAACTCATATCAAAATGTCTCGTCAGCTTATACTCCACCTTCAAGCTTAAAAAGCCCTGAATCACTAATCTGTTCAAAGGCTCCTAATAGCCCGAAGTATGAAGCAATTGTTAGACAGTCTAAAGTTTCTACCAATCAATCACTACTCGGATCCGCCTCGGGAGCAATTAAGAACATTGATGAAACTACCCGAGCACTTACATCACTTCCTTTTCATACTCAGCGTCGGAGTATGTTAGTAAGCGGTTTGGGTAGCCTCAGTGGTAGTAGTGGTTGCATGGCCGATCGAAGCATGTCCAGTCCTGCTCCTTCCAATGAACCTGATAGTCCAGTTTTTTCTACTGCTTCTCTTGCTCATAGTGATATACCATACCTTGTATCACCAAAGAACAGTGTTGTTGCGTATGAGCCACCACAGTTAACTAGATCTTCTGATCTCTCTGGTGAAAATTCAAAAACAGAGATGCCATGTACTCATCAAAGTATTAGTAAACTACAAGACAAAACTACACAGCTAAAAAAAGCCAGACAAACTACAAAGTCATCACAAGTAAAAATATCGGTCAGTAACCTTTATTTACTTAATCGTATCATTTTTATTCGGTTATTTCTAGCTATCGAACTCTACCAAGTACTTGTGGTGTCATAAATTCATAAATATGTTTTGATAACTATTTTAGTTAGTTGTATGTTTGTCTTTTGTCCATTCGGTTAGTTAGAGCAATATGATCCAAAAAAGCTTTTTTATTATAATTTTTACTTAACTATTTCTGAAATAGTTTTTAGTATGACGAATTTGCTCTAATATGTTAACTCCTTTCAGATTTATATTTAAAAACAGAGATTTAGATTTTAGTAGTTAGATTCTTCTATTTGTTTTCTCAGATTTTGACACCAGAATTTGAGAACTGTTGATTGGAGCTATTGGATAACTCTAAGTAGTTAAATATTTAGTATTTCACGAGTGTACTTCAAAAAAGTTATTATTTGCATCATTTTGCCTCTTAATTTGTGGATGCTTACCATTTTCTAGGTTGTTAAATGATATTCCTCATGTCACGTCCATCTAAATTCTGTCTACCCGTTGGATATTAAAAATAGTTCATAATGACAATATACGAAATTATAAAATCCTTGATCAATTTAGAAAATGATTACAATATTCCTAAATATGTGATCACTACCTTCGGCGGTACACCTAAAGGTACAACATAAAATAATTCAATGAAGGAGGCATCTACTTTTGAAGCTAGCACACTGAATGATTACTATCGTGTCACTACTAATATTCTTGGGTCAAATGGTCGGTTGCTCACCACTACGATTTTATCAATCTCACCATTAAACCAGAACTCATTTCAGTCTTGACTAGTGCATTTCTCTACTCTTAACAGTTAATTTGTTCAAATCTGCAACTAACTGAAGGTAAAAGATGCCTTCACGATATCTTACTATAATAAATTGATTTTTACACAAATTTCAGATACTATTCCCCTTCAAGAGTCGTGTGATGCATCTTTGTTTACTGAGAAACGGAGTTTCATCCCACGCTTGCATTTGGAAAGAAAACAGTGAGTTTAGTCAATGTCCAATAATAGCATAAGTTATGAAACATATTGTTAAGACATTTTCATAATTCAGCACCTTTCTTTACACCAAGCAGGTGTCGGTAATTTGTGGACGCTGTGGGAGCCGTTCAGATAATATTCAAGGTACATGCCAAAGACATCTATGTCAGTGTTTTAAAGTGGTGGTTTACTCAATTATCGTCCGAAAATCTGATAATGATACACAACGTGCTACGCGCTAACTCCCTATCTGACTACTTGAGCGAGAACACATTAGTGGACATGAAAGATTATTGGGCTACCGGATAAAATGCACAAATACTCCTATGTATTTATACAACTCTACCCCTTAGAAAATAAATACATTTCTTAGCCAGTGATATGCACTTTTCCTACAGGTCACTTTTGATTGCCATCGATTGACCTCATTTAGCTACTTTCGATTGGCTTACCATACCAGTCGATATGGCCGAGCATATTGGCGAACGTCGAGATTACTGATTTGGTGTTGTCAATGGGTGTCAGTGATCCTTCGGAGATTAAGATGGTCGAACACAGTCGCCGAACATCCTTAACTCGGTGTGGTCAATTTTCACAAACATAGAGGGAAACTGCACCCGCTGACGCGTTGTGATTCCGAACTTTTACAGCTAGACCAACATCACGGTAAATCCAAAGGTGGCCCGGATTAGTATAAGTTACTCTGGCTTTCATTATACGTAGATTTATCCTATCTGTCACACTGCCTCCAGTGCTCATAAAACTACCCAGATATGCAAACCTTTCGATTAGTTATAACGGATTTTCACAAGAGTGACTGCATGCACATACTGTTGGGATTCTTGCAGAAGTACTCTGTATTTATGTATGAAGTAAATTCCATACCTACGGACACTGATCTTCACTTGATTTGATACAATTTGTGTACACAGTAAGGTGATGTCATCTGGATACTCGAGATCGGATTTTTTTCCAGGCAGTAAATGTACACCACCTTACGTGCTTCCTTCAGAGCTGTTTCCAGTATGTGGTAGGTGGCAAGCTGAAAAAGAATTGTGGGATCGGGCAGCCCTGCCTAATCTCACTGCTGAACCGGGACAATGGGGAGATGTAGTTATATGCATAGACAGATATTACGAAGAGACATTGCTTCCCATATCAGTTTTTTCCTCCTTACCATCGATTAGGGTCACCTCTGCTCTAGGACTCAGTGCTACTCCAACGTTAGTCAATCTAATGCGGTTTTCAGAGAGATTCTGCATAACCGTACGTGGAACAAAGTTTCTTCACCTACGGATGAACGGATTAGTAGTGCTTCGCTAGAGTCTTGAATTCAGGTCTCGGAGATACTGTAAGCTTCGATATCAGAACTTTGCAATGACTTAGCCAAACCTGTCTATTGTTGAAGAAGGCCAGTTTAAAAAGCACGTGTGGCCTCAGGAAAGCTTACTCAGATTTCGTATTCGGTGGAGGCATCCCTAAATTTGGTCATTCAGCGACTTCAGACTGTTCTAACTGAACAGAATTTCCAACAGATATTACATGGTGAGTGAGTTGTAGTATATGTGTAAGCACATAGAAATGATAAACATTAGAAAAGTGAGGCAATATCAAACAAGTATGTTTAAATTAAATAGAGAGTTAATATCGTATGAAGTGGCAGTGAATCAGACCAAGTATGCCATTTTCTCCACAATTATTAACTACCATAGTTGCGCACGGTCTGGGATACTACCAGGCAACCTAAACTGAAGCAGATGGTTTACAGATAGTATCACTCCCGGAGCCTATGACTTGGGCGTCTAATCCAAAAGGTTTGTGCGTCGTTTGTCCCTTCCCGACTAGATCCCATATACACCACTGATTCAGAGTTAGGATTTTCCAATCTCCTAATTGATTACCAACCTGAAAGTAATATTTATCGTGTTACGTATATAGATATGAAGGGCCCTATACAAATAAAATCCTAGAAGCCATCAATTTATGGAGGGACCGTCTAACTTTTTTGTATTTAATGTACCTATGAGGAAATTTTAGTACTTTATAAATGTTCCGTTGCAAAAACTAGATGCCTGAATTGAGTTTTTAAAAATATAACTGTTTTTCGAAGTTCTTATAAATGTAGTTACTGAAAGGTAGTTAAAGGTAGTCACATTTTATTTGGCATTCTTCTTATTCTTTTCTTTTAGTACTCTAGATTGTCGTCGTTGGTCACTAGCCTCATTACCTTCATCTGGTTATGGTACAAATACATCAGAAAGTGGCAGTCATTTGTCTGTACGTTATTTTGTTTTATACATACATTTTCTTATAATTTTTAATTTACGTCATTGATTTTTAGGAAACATATTCCAGATTAAACTTTAATTAAATTGTGTTGATAAAAAGTCTTTAATTGTTGACTTAAAACGCTTTCGTCATACTCATGTCTGCCTTGATAGGAAACACTTTCCGGACAGAATTTAGGCTTACATTGGATTGTACATGTCTACATTCTGACATTCTAGTATTTACTTACCCCACATGTTAGATAAATAAAATTCTTTTTTCGACGATCTCAGGCTGTCGCCCAAATTGCGACTCATCAAAATCGTTCCAATATTTTAGTTGGATGAAAGTAGGGATGATCGTAAAACTGTATTTTACCGAACGACTTTATCATCTTCAAATACACGTTTGGATTTTACAAACTTTTTGCTTTGAATGCTCAGAGTCCTTAGCTAATTAACTTTCAAAAATATGTGGTTACTACCTATATCATTTTATATTTTAATAACTCTCAACATGTGATTTGCAAATTTTTATATGAGATTCTCCAGATTAACATTTTGTATGACTACGTTTGTTGTAAGTAGTTTTTTCACTACATAGTGTTTGGAACTTCGTACTTTATGATAAAAATTTTCAGTAATCACCTTTCTATTTTCTGGCTACTGCATCATTTTTTGTTGGGGAGACCCAGACTATTCCTCGAAAAACACCCAGAGGGGCCCTGAAAACTCTGGGAAACATTTTGTACAATCGGTATTAATTAAAAGTTTCTTATAAACACCTGGAAAGCAAAAAGTCGTATTTCTGATTGGATGATTACCTATCCTGCTACTGTGTTTAGTAAGGTTCCAAAACCTTTCAGAAGCCCAAGGCCACCTGAGATGCTATAAATACCCTCAATTTCCTGTACATAAACTAACTTTGGAGTGGAGCGTTCTCCATATTTCTCGCTTTTTCTCTCGTGTTCAAGTTGTTTCGTGGATTAAGCCTGGGGGTTATTGGAAGAGCTTAGAAACGGCCTCAAGCATTCAATCAGAATATTTATCAATTTTTAAAGATATTAGTCCTTGAAATGGATAGTCATCATATTGAAGTTGGTTGTAAGTATAAATTTTCTTACTAATTGAAATTGTTTCATGTGATCTTCACTGCTAGTTTAGAAATTATTTCTTGAAATCTCTACTATCTTAATCTGTTTAGAAGGTAGATAATTTCGTGAGAAAACTAGTCTTTATGTTCCCATAGATAATGTTTACGGTTGGTCTAATAGTATTCAAATGTAAGGCTAGGAAGCGATTTAGGTCATTCTGTTCCGCCTTTTATTGCATTTATATTTTGCATGGTGTTATTTCATCACTTATGGTAATATTTTCCGTGTTGTTACCATGCAGCGTAGTCGATGTTCTTCAAGAGAAAATGTTTCTCATAGTCTTCATCCTCAAACTAACACACTGTATGCAAATGATCATGGAATTTCTGCTCGTTCGAAATACCAAACATCCATACAAACTCCAGTTAAATCCATACCGATAGAACGTTCTTATTCTATGAGATCACCTTCAATACCTGTTTATTCACAGCTACCGAATTCGAAATCTCCTCTGTCATTGTCCTCATCTGCTGGTCAAAATACAGAATCACCAAATTTATGTTTTATTTCGCGTTCACCAAAGGAATCGTGTACAGCAGAGACAAGAAGTGATATTTCCCTTTCTAATGTTCTACCTTTCCTGTACACTTCAGTTCACAGTGCAGATTCTAAAAGCGTACCACACACGCCTGTTACTCGGGCATCACCTCGAATTAACCATAGTTCTGTGAGTGCTGTTCAAACATGTTACAACTCTAGCTTTGACGGCTGTCGTACCCGTTCACGTAGTTTAAGGTAAGTAATATTCTGATCTTTCGTTTTAAATATCAGTGTCTGACTTTTTTTCAAAGTTTTAGCGTAATATAACTTCTTTAACGTAGCGCTTCTATTGTTGACAATAGATGTAATAAAATCTAACGTTTCCCAAAATTTTGTGTTTCATTAGTCACACTGCAGAACTAGTCCATTTAACACATCTCTACTATAAGTATGCCGATTTTCACAGTATGAGTAGATAGATCATAGTCTTCTCGACATCAACAATGCATCTTGATTAGGATAATTAATCCCATTGATTTGAAGATAGGTTTTATCGAATAATGATGACATAACGTTGTTTCGTATCACCTTTGTTTGCTTGGTGTGGCGCATATATATTTGGTGCCCTCTTGTGTTCAAATAAATAAATAAAAATAAATCTTGTTTGCTTGACTGTCATTTTATAAAACTCATATCTTTTTTTGTGTGGTACTTTTTGGGGTAACAAATCACGTTATGATTTTTTGTTCCAAATAAATTAGATGTAACACACCCCAATTTTAATACATGTATTTCTACTGCTTGAAAATTCATTTGTTGTTCACGTTGAGTCGAAATGTTATATTACTGAAGAATCACAGTCAGTGTTTTCCAGTTATTTTCGACTTAGTATTTCCTGACAAGAAGTATCACACAAACGATTCAATTGGATAAAAGTGTTAGTTGTTTGAAATATTGTTATTCGACAATGTTTTATTTTCACTTGCTATCGTTTTACTGCTCACTTTATTGCAGCACACAATTCAGTACTTTTTGCAGCGGTATGCCACTTCATATTTATTCCTATCCATTATTCTACCTTTAAGACTATTAGAAATCCCTTCAATTTCAGTCAAAACAGAATTTATGATTCAATTTATTAAGAAGTCGATTCATGTTCATCATCATTATTCATTTTGTCTCCTATGTACTTTTTTCATTGTGGGTAGGGAAAGTATTGTTTGTATCTAATTTGATGGTTAATTGTCACACGAATAAATTTATTAACCCTAATCATTCAGTGGTTTCGGATTATGATCTAAATATTAGTCTCTATTACATTATTTACTTCATATTGCAAATGCATACATCTTTCATACCCACCTTCTGACGCAAAAATGAATACAGTGACAGGTCATACAAATTCACCTTAATCAAGAATAACTTTACATTGACATATTCAAACTTACCATGGTTTTAATTGTCCTAAAAATATTTTGCATTGCTTCCTATGTACTATTTTTCCGTGTTAATTTAGTTTGGTTATTTATTTAATCTAAAGAAGTTTATTTATTTATTTATGTTAACACAGATATTGGTACAAGGAGGCACCAAATACATATGCGCCACACAAATCTCATTCGATATGTGTGAGGGCTGTGATACTGTCCGGGTGCCCAGACCGAAGCAGGTGAATTTCTTAGGGGGCCACTCCCCGAGCCTTCGACCTGAAGGTTTGATCCACAAGGCAGTGGAGCATCGTAAGGAGATGCAGTCCCGCGGAAGCCGGTGACCAACGGTTGGTTCATACGCCATTTGTTCCCGCAGGATACTGGAGCCTATGTGCACCATTGATTTGGAATCCGGTTAAAGCGCCGGACATTCGCTTTTCGTCCTCTCATTTTCGTAAACAACACCCCCGTCACGAGAAGGCAGTGAGTAGGACTCCCCTGGCAGAGGCTATATAGGCGTGGCCATGTGAGAGCATTTCGAGAGGGAGAGCGGAATCCCTCCACTCTCGGCCGTACCAGGGCATTTGGGGGCATCTAAAGAAGTGGCTTACATTAAGTCACGAAACGTCAGAAATATAATTTTCCTACTCAATGAGATATAACAGAAATGTATTTGTTATTAGTTATCCTTGTTTATGTTTATGTTAGGTCGATTATCTCTTTTATATCACTATTTACTTTTCTCACAATTATATGATATGATTCCTTTTTTTCCACAATAATAGTCCATTACGTGTTTCAAATGTTGGCGGTGAACAAGATATACTGCTTTTAAACCATGTTTATCGGGAGCGCTTTCCAAAGGTTAGTTTATATATATATATATATATATATATATATATATATATATATATATATATATATGAAAACTATGGTATTAAATTGCAATGTTAATTTATAAGTTTACTGAATTATATCACTTATGAAATAATACAATCATAACTGATCAACACCATAATAGTTTCAGTTAACGAATTTTTTATGCACAAGAAATGAAAGTTTATTATATCTTAGCAAGAATATCCTCTTAAGAAAAGAATTTTGTACAATAGACAGTTTAGCGTCAAAATCATTTTTACCTATTAATCTGTTAACCAGCCTTTTTCTTAACCTAGTATTGTTTTCTTGTTTTTCCCGTTTGTAAATCAAATATTTTACACAAGATTAGATTTTATTTTGCATCTATTCAAACTGATTAAGATGAAATGGTCATTTAATTCTTTATTTTAATGGATCAATTTTAAATTGTGTTTGAATAACAATTAACTCATGATCTCAACTATTGAAATTACTACAATCTCCACAAAACCCCTTCTGATATTAATCAAAACATGCTCACTAGTGATGGGCTTCAAGAGGTATATCCTGGAGTTCTAGTGCGAAGCAGTGACCGGTGGAGTTCAACCAGGTCTGTTGTAAAATAGTAACTCACTGATGACAAGGGTGGATGTGTCGCTCAATTTCGTGGATTAGTTGAAGTTAAACATTAACACCGTTGGATGCCAGTCGGTTCAGTGGTCTAGTGGTTAAGCGCTCTCCTGCAAGACTGATGTGTCCTGGGTCCTAATCTCGCGAGGCGGGATTGTGGATGCGCACTGCTGAGGAGGACGAAACGGCCGTCCACTGCTTGTACGTTTTCCATGGTGGTCTAGCTTCATTTGACTCATGATCTCAACTATTGAAATTGGTAAATTGTTTAGTTTAATTGTTAATGACATGGGATTTATACTCTTCTCGTTTGCTTAAATTAATTTTAGTTCAATCTCGAATTGATCTTTTATTAAATTAGTCACAAAAGTACATTTCCTGTGAGTATTGCTTGTTTTTTCATACTCTTCTACTTCCTTGAAATATTTTCTCATTCTTTTCTTCACGTCTTATTATCTAATTTCTTCAAGTATATGTTTTTGTGTAATAATTAAAGGTAAGGGATAGAATTTTTTTATTGGTTCATAGTAAAAAGTCATCATGATTTGATTTTTGATTTTCTCTAGAAAATATGTCAGATGCAACGTTCACATAATCGTAAAAAATAGATTGAAAACAAGACCAATACACCAACTCTGTTGATCAAAAATTAATTCACTATTGAACATGTATATAATACTACTTTTTTGAAAAAGTTATCAACAATTTTGCGTGATATTGAACTATGAAATTATAAGTTATTCATTTTGTGATCAAAATGATGCAGCCGAAATATACATGGCTTGGGTATCAAATTATATGTGGTTAAATATCAAGTAATTAAATAGTTTATGGATTAATTCTATATCTTTATGTGATAATATGAAGCTTTCTTCATGTTATTGCTACTATTACTACTGATGTTGTAAACGAGAACACAGGGGGGGACAAGCGATGTATTTTAATATAAAATTACAGAGTATCTTGGTAAAATATAAGAACCATACACCGAATACTTCATTTGCAAATTTACATCATTTGTCTTTTACATTCAAGTTCACAGTTCCTTTCTATTTTCTTCAACTCGATCTTTTTAGCCTTCTGCTACCAGGGTTTCCACTTCCAATCGATGTTACATACTGCTACATCGAGTTTTACAAAACAATTCGATAGAAACTCCAATCGATGTGCATTTAAAAACATCACTAATCAAATTGCTTTTTTCCTTATGTTTTACCTTTGTTTACATCTTAATACTTCTCATATCTTTACGTGGTGTGGACACGTGATTCTCAGCTGTTAAGTCTCATGTTCAAATTCTGTACTTAGTTTATTTGAAAAGAACTTTAGTTCCGATAGCCTACATAATATGTTCATACAATGAAGGTAAATGCCATTACTGGGTCACTTTATCGTATATGGATAAATGTGCTCATTTCAATGTAATTTTGTCTTTCAGGCATCCGCTCACATGCAAGAACAGCTGGCTTCCCTGGCTGATGAAATGGAGCATATGGATACAGTATCGTGGTCTGCAGTAGCAAGATTTGTCCATTGTCAAGTTGTCCAACATGCACGAGATTGTTTGCAGAAGGCTCTTTCAGGTCTTGTAACCTGCCGCTATTTTTATGAAATGACTGAAAATTTGAGCAAACTTGTCGAAGATGTAAGTAATTATTCATTAATTCCATTTATTTTTAAGTATTTGTATTATCCTGTTGTTGTTATCCAGGACTTATATTTGATGAGTTTTCGTTCTCGTTTATATTTAACACCTTGCTTGGAGAGATTTTTACCATCCCTAGCATTTCGTCTTTGACTATCAGTTAACTTCTTATTTGTTTTCAATTTCTTGTCAGACTCGTACTCGTGACGCGGATTCTATTCCGCTTGTCGTCACATTTGTCCGCCGACTACTTTTGATTATTGCCCGGCCTGCACGATTACTCGAATGTTTAGAGTTCGATCCGTCTGAATTTTATCAAATGTTAGAAGTTGCTGAAAGTCACGTACGTCATCGAACGAACTCCGTTAATGTACCGGGTTCTCAGATCATTTCAGCTGACGTCCCTCTATACATTATTTCGAAGCTTGGTCTCAGTAAAACTGTCTTGGATGGTAAGTTTAAAACGAATCTTTTGTACACAGTATGTTACGATCTTCATTTTCATTTTCACTTCCGAAACAGTCTTTTTATTTACACTTCGATTGGCCCCTTAATTACTCACAGACCTCTTTATTAAGTACTTTCATTGTATTTTGAAATAAAGAAACATCCTAGCTACTTGGTTATTAACCCACATTAATCGTTTCATATTAACACAGCCGGGAAAAAACACTGGGGTCATACAATCAATAGTTTTTTTTAGTAAATGCAGTTGTTTAGGGATGCAAGTGTTCCCCAATTTTCATCTCTGTTTAACCGTTTTCTACTTAAAGCATGTTTATTTACGACTCAGGTCTTTGAGGAATACTTTGTTGATCTGGCTTTATCTATCATCTATTTATCTACCCAATGAAATTTAGATATCTGCCGACCTAAACTAGCAGTGCTTTAGGTTCTACTTTTTTCTGTCACCCACTTGATAATTTGCAGCATACTTGTTTTAATCTAATATTCTAATTACTCTTCCGGTTTCATTTCCCCACTTACTTTTATCTACTTCATTGTGCTTCACTCACTATTTTTAAAGGATTCGTTTCCTGTCGCACTTCTCTAGTCATATTTACTACTAACAAAGGTTGTCAGATGTCTTTTTAATGACTATTTCGATTAGATTTTGGGTTTTATGGGATTATATCGTGCCCTAGTGTGAATTAGTTGGTAATTTCTCGTATTTTTAATGTATCTCTCACCTGTATGCGTTGCATTTATCATTTGTTCATGCTTAGTCCGTTGTTTTGATTACATTTATAAATATTTGATCATAGTGGCTGAACGTAAACTGTTCTCATTTGTTTACTCCATAAACCTTAATACTAACACTTTATTATTATTTTTACCTTGCACCTCCATTTTTAGGTGTTGTATGTGTGATAACGAACAGTTAATTTATCAATATCTGAAGTTCTAAATTTCATAGATATTTGTTGTCCTTATGTTATGTGTGACTTTTGATCATGCTTACTCTCATCTTATACTTTTGTATATAAGGTATTGTTAGAAAATGTAGCAAGTCAGCATATTCTGTTTAGCAATGATCACTAGGTCACTTGGTAATATTTTCCATCACTAACCAATAAGCAGTTTATCCGTCATTTTAACGGTTATCTGTGCTTATAATGGGTCAAACCTGCACCTAACACCATCGTATGCTTCTTTTTTTGGCTCGACTTTTATATGACAGAGAATCATAGTTTATTTGATTTATTATTATTATTATTATTTGTAGGATCATAACTTGATTCAAAGAATGATTAAAAAAGAAGCCAATGAGATTTCATTTAATTTTCAACGTTATTATAGACGAACTTTGTCCATACCTGGCGTTACTGTTAACAGTGTCACATGTCTAGCGAAACTTATATAGATTTACTTATATTCCATTTTAAAATCTTCACTTTATAATCAACAACTATTGTCTTGATGGTCAGTTTGCACCTTCACTCAATTCATAAATGAAACTTAAATATCTGATGACATTAAATGTTAACAAGGAATAGTTTTTTAGAGTTTAAATGATTTTCTAGCCTTATTCACTTTGCGAATATTATTTAAAGCTAATCTATGACAGTTTTCATTGTGTTTATTGTTTAGTTTTGATATATATATATATATATATATATATATATATACTTTTATTTTACAGAGTCACAGAATATCAAAGCTTCTCATCTGTGTAGTTCTAATTTAAATGATTCACACCATTCAGAGAAATTTAAATCTGATTCTACCATAAGAGTTAGAACGACTAGTGGATCTAACCTGGATTCATGTATGCATACTGATGATGAAATTGTTTCGCGGACAGCGCGTAGCAATAGTAGTTGTGTTCCAATTCGTCCACCTTGTGAAGCTGACTTTGAAGTTATTAAATTGATATCTAATGGCGCTTATGGGTAAGCATCATCCGTCATCATCATGTTTCTATTTGTCTATGATTTCAGAATATGTTGCATATATTTTACTAAAACACTAACTACAATATTATTTATAGAATTCGACGCAAACTACTTTAGTTTTCATTAGCTAAAATCTTTCCCATTCGAAGCAATTTTATGTACTGAATACTAGTGAGATAAAACTGTTTTCAAATGTATTCCTTTAGTTAATATTTAATAGTTATCGAAATTCAGTTTTATCATATATACAGTTCTCATGAAACTGTTACAGTACGTTACTAAGATTCATATTCTCTCAGCAAATAATTAAATAATTTTTAGTTGAACACTGATAATACAACCATTACTCAAAGTCAGTCAGTAACAACGTAGAACTTCGTACGTACGTACATCAGTTCGAATTGCCATACCACATTAGCACACAGATACAATTGTCAATTCAAACCCTGTATTGGTAGAGGTAGTAAGAGTATAAGCAGTAATCGGAAACATTAGGGTTTGAAGATGTTATTTAAAGAGTATAATCCAGTGAAATAAATTTGGAATGAGGAAAAAAAGGGACATGAAGAATTCAGGAGACTAGAATTTGGGAGAACACAAAGAGTAGATGCACCCGTGCCATTGCAGACAATTTTGAGCCATGTCATTCAGGGTTCCTAACCATCGGTTGCTATTGTCTCGCCGATCCCAACCAGCTAGTCTACACCTACCAACATGGCTCTGTCCACTTGTCAGTAACTTCATGTATTTGTGCCACGTTTTGGTCTGGCCACCCCTATCTTTCTTCTAACCTACTCCTACACCATAAAACATCGCACGTCGGGGCAGTCGGTGGTTGGGCATACGTAACACGTGTCCCAGTCATCTCAACTGATCAGGTTTCACTACTTCATCAATTGATTTGCCATCCTTACCTAGTACCCGTTTCCTAACAACTGAGCTACTTACTCGGTGGTCTCAGGATATACGAGCAATGTTTCGAAGACACCTATGATCGAATACTAGTAATCTACGAATATACTCTACTCTTACCGGCCATGTTTCACTGCCATAAAGTAAGACGGAACGAACTGCTGCGCAGTAAACCCGTCCTTTGGTTGGTAGACAGATATCTAGCCTACGCCATAAATGACGCAAGTTGGCAAAAACTAGTCGAACCTTCTATATATCTGGTCTATACAGCCACGTCCAGGTCGGAAACCAGCCGAGTTTTCTCTAGTCTGCTCTTCACGAGCTTTGGTTAGGCGTCAAAGTATTATTGAAGCTAGACACTATATTAGTCAAATTGATTCCTCTGTGATTGTCACCAGAGGACGTTTGCCCTCTCTTATAGACTGGCACGATCAGAGATTGAGACCAGTCAGGTGGGATTACGTCCAGTTCCCAAATTCTACCTAAGACCTCAGTTAATCTCGCTGCTAATAGTGGACCGCCATCCTTAAAAATCTCAAGGGTAAACCTGTCAGGGCCTGCTGCTCTCCCACGCTTCAGATTTCATATAGCTTTTTCAACTTCGTAAACAGTCGGAGGACTTACATTAACTTGTCATTCAGGTTGACTGGAGATCATGGGAAACCGAAGTGTGTCTAAAGGCCAGTTGAACTGATCCCTAAAGTGTTCTGCCCATCGGTCCAGTCTTCTGGATTGAGAATATACTCAAAGTTCCTAGCTAGATTGTTTCACAAAGCTTTGCTCTGTTGCATCAAAATTTATATGAACAAAAATGAAATGGCTCATAATTTTCAGGTTTATTTTTGTTCATTTATTTGTACTTTACTGAAATAAAAAGTCAGAAAATTTCCTCAACTATTTCTCAATACTTTTAATAAAAATGATTATTCTAAAAGTGTCATTTCTATTGAATCGCTAGTATTCTATCCGTTGGAATTATTTTTAATTAGGCTGGTCAACTGGATTCGATAAATCCATCGATATGAAATGTGTCTTCCACGTTAATTTATGTTATTTAGTTCATGTTATTTTCTTTCCTTAAACTTTCGAAAAAAATTTTTCAGTGGACGTCGTTTACACTTTTAATCGTCTGTTTCATTATCTGTTAACAACTTAATTCTTAAATGAATATAATTTCATAAAGTATGCAGTAATACTATTGATTTTTATTTACTTAATATTCTCATTTTTCAGTGCTGTTTATCTTGTAAGACATAAAATAACTAGACAACGATTTAGCTTGAAGAAAATTCGTAAACAACACTTACAATTGCGTAATCAAGTTGAACAAGTATTCGCTGAACGAGATATTATGAGTTTTGCAGACAATCCATTTGTTGTTAGTTTATGTTGTACATTTGAAACAAAAAAATGTTTATGCATGGTGATGGAATATGTGGAAGGGGGTGATGTAGCAACTTTATTAAAACATATTGGTGGACCCTTACCATTAGATCTGGCTAGAATGTATTTTGCTGAAACTGTATTAGCTCTTGAATATTTGCATAATTATGGTATCGTTCACAGAGATTTAAAACCAGATAAGTAAGTTCTACTTTGATTGTCAATGAATGTACAATTGTGTGATTATTTTTCAGTTAGTTCACAACTGTTTATTGTATTATTTCAGAGTTATTTGATCATTCTGAAACTTTGTGATTTTATGAAATATATATGCTGATTGTATGCCTTTAAAATGTATTCATTTACAGTTTACTGAGCTTAAATGCTCGTAGTTATAATTTTCTGACACCGCACGTAGAACAAAGTCGAATATCTCGCCGTAACTCCATTACAGCTTAATACTATTTCTAAATGAATTATATATGATAAATAATTCGCTTTTGAAAGATTAATGATAGCTTAACAATGTATAATATGCAATTTTCAAAATTACATTTCACCTGTCTACAGTAATTTCATATAATTTAATGTAAAATCGCACATTTCTGTAGTTTAGTTTCCAACTATTTTGCTCATTAATAAAACTGATACCCCTCTGACTCCACATTCTACCAGCTAGTCAAACGCTGTTCTTTGTATCTGGAACTTCATGACTGAATGTTATTCCATTGTTAACAAGTTTGTTGGATATATTTGTCGATTATAGTTTGATAATTAACTCTATATCATTTGAATCTTAATAGCAGTACCTTGAAAACCAATATGACTGAGTAAATAGATGTATACAATAATAACAGATTATAATCGTGATACATAAATCAATAACAATTATGATTTGTTCCATCAAAATTTCACATTCTACTAACCCTCATAAATATGAAGCAATAACTGACATTTGACTATGAAGTAATCTCATTTGGCGAAAGTAGAACTCCTCATGTATATTTTTAACCATCCTAAAATCACGATGGACAAATAAACTATGTGAGTTATGTTGATTGGTTCAACATAATATTATATATTCTTAAAATAATAATTACAAAATTCATGTCAGTTTACAGGCATGATCAGCTCGATATAGGTAGTAATGTTAAATGTAGAGGACATATGGGATATTAGATTGTTTAAAATGTTCTAGTTCAAAAAATATTTAAGTATTGCGTTTTTCACATGTGTTACTGTGATGAAATGCGTCAGCCGGGAACTTTTAATTCTTTTTAAGTGGATATCTTGTTAACGAATGAATGGTGTATTTAAGGTCATTTCCTATGCCATCGTGAATTGGTTATAATTATTTACAATCAGAGAAAATTAAAAAAGGATCAGAGAGCTCCGAACTACAAAACAATAATTACTACGATTGGTCGATCAGGTCTACCATAATAGATGTGTGGGATTATTTCACAATATACTGTTGTGTTAGATGTTCTTCAAATTAGTTAAAGTTACCAGGGACGGTGTTAGTGTAAAGTATCAACAGGTAAGGAGGTTTACTTAGTTGTCTCAGTAATAAAAACGATCAAACATTTAAATTTCCTATACTCACACTTGTGGAATGGGATACGCTTACAGGTGTAAGGACGTTTCAGTCAGTCAGTGAAGGAGGTTGATTATGAATACAGTGGACTTGAGTGCTGTTAGAAGTATGAGGGCGGTTATCACTTCCCGGTTGCCCACACCGTGGAAGGGTTCTTCTGGAGGTACCTGAAAAGGAAATTGGATTAAAGGTGGTCTTAGTGGACTGAGAGCGTGACCGCAGTGCCCAAGGGACAACTGCTTGAGGTCGGTCACACACGACCTTGTTATGGGTAATTTTTGTGTTAGCTCCGTACTTATTGAGACCTTACCGCCGGAGACGGATATCCGTGGGATAAGGCGAGGTGTGCATTTTTAGGGTCGACCTTTTCTAACCCCACCCCTCCTTGTGGGAAGGCAGCATCGCTGTCATGCTGGTTGTCTGAAGGAAACACCTTACTGCTGTCACACCTCTGTACAGTCAGCAGTACGACTTCGCCTTCGGACCTTGGGTTTGTTGCTTTTAGTCTTACCGCTCTTCAACCGACCTGTCTGACATGGTAGGACCTTGAGGAACGGTTGTTCCAGCCAGTATAGCTCGGTTGCTTCATCACGATAGGCAAGCCCGACCACCACGTCAAGGTAGCAACAACGGTCGGGGTAAGGACGTTTAAGTCATTTTGATAGGAGAAGTAGGAATCAATGCAGTGAACAAAGGATAGGAATGATTTTATTTCACGGACTGTGGTAGATTGTTCCAGAGTCTGAAACATTTCCTGGTAAAGTAATTCATATGGAATGTTTAGAATGATATTTAAATAAAGCCAGAACAAATATTGATGCAGAGTAATATGAATTCATTATATTTGGTGGTTTCTCATCACTACTTACAACCAAATATGTATTAGAATTTTACATTGAGATAAGAAATAGTATGGAACAATTGACATAAGTTAATGTAAAGGATTGGAATAACAAAGGTTACCAATGATAACTTATATATGCAAGAACAGGTCAGAGGTTATTAGGTGTTAGAATCAATATTTCTTCTGGCTTTATTTAAATTCATAAAGGGAAATAATTGCATGAAATTTAGAATGAGATTGTTTCACTAATGACAAAGAGTTACGGATGTTGTGACTAGGAGTTTCTGCATGTTGTATTGCTTCATTGAATGCAAAAGACAGGTTATCAAGTATTTTGAATTAAAAAGATTAGGTTTAGTTTGAGTACGCTCTTCCATAAAGAGTTGAGTCCAAGTTTATTACATCTGGGTTTAAGATACAATCAGTCCCAAGGGCCCGGACTGTAGATCGTCTCTGAATAGATTTCAGCCTTTGTTTATCCCTTATGCGAACATTCCTAAAAATAAACGTGCAGTACTCCAGGAGCAGTGAGATACAAACTTTGTACTCGTTGTTATAGAAGTTGTGAATTATGCAACTCAGAAGACGTTGAGACTTGGAGTTCTGTTTCGAGACCTGTCGTAAGAAGGAAGAATTGTAAAAATGCTTGAGTCCCGAGTCCACTACTGTGTGCAACTTGGATAACACCTTACCATTTATAATAAGATCTAAGTTGAATGAATTATTATCAAAGCATATCCATCCACACTAAGTATGTAAAACTCCAACTACCGCTTTGAGCATCACTGGGTTACCTTGTTGAAATTCATGCAATTTCGCATGTCGCCCATCTCATGAGGAGAAAATGGATACATTACTTTAAGATCATCTGCTTATACAAGAGGCTTTTTCATTCAGAAGCAACTGCAGATATCATTTATATAAACTAAAAAGAACAGAAGAATTAGGACACTACCTTGTATTACACTACTTTTGACCGGGACATCTGAAAAAAAGTTTAACTATTTGGTGTCAATGACTGAAAAATGAATTAAACCAAGCAAACAGAGGGTTTTTCGATCCCATAAGATGCGAGTTTGCTTATAAGAAGCTGGTGCTTAACTATTTCAAAATATATCACTAAGACTAGATATCCTCGGTTATGTTGAGTGGAGACTAAATTGAAGAAGCCAAGTGGCAGGTCATGCAATATCGAGTTTTAAAAAAGCCATGTTGAGAGTCAGTAAGAAGCTACTATATCTAGGACCAATAATGATTCAGAGTTAACTCAGGGCTGCTAGTGCTGGATGATATGTCATTGGTTTAGCTCAGTGACGGGGTCATAGAAGTCGACATTCTGATTAGCCATTTTGCCACGTGATATTTGATAGGGGTATAAGTCATAACACTATTTAACCCCATACTCATTAAAGGAGTAATAGTTTCTTTTTTCCTTATCTTCATTTTAGGCTAGTCCCTCTCTGACCAACGTCATAACAAATTTCGGTTGAGTGTTTTTTTTGTTTCCGATACCTTTAAAAGTTTTGCTTACCTAGAAAAATATATTTATTTTCAATCTATAGACGATAAAAACCACTACTATAGGCTATCATTTGTCGTATTTTCCTTAAAGAATAATATAAATCTGTCATTTAATATGACAGACTTAACTAGTACATGTTTTCAGCTTTTCAGTTATCTTCTTTCATCTTTTTACACGTCTAAAAATTTGAAATACCTTAACATCAGTTATTTTGTCATACAGGCGTGTTTACTCAGTGTCAGACTTGTCACTATAGGGATCAAAAGACCAGATATAAAAGTAACTTTTCGACGTCGATTAATTTTGTATTTAAGCTAACAGTTTTACTTTTTTTTCAAATAATGTTAAGACTTTGTTTACACATTCATCAAATGAATAAATCAGATGTATGGGATTTGGTTTTGCATCTTCGAGAAATCTGTATTGGTTTACATCGCAAACACCATGATGATTGGCTATGCTGATTTAACACTTCATTTCTTAGTGAACTTATACAATTTCCATACTCAATAAGTTAATCCAGGATTATTAAATATAATCATACACTCAGATCAATCATAATGTATTATCTTATGTATTGCTTTCATATTTGGTTATTTTAATGAATACTTTTACAAATGATATGAACATATTACTGTCTGGAATATTATGTACTATTGGTAAACTAAAATTTTCTGAATCCGACCTGCTAGTTCACATCTGTTTCTTTTTGATGTCGTTTTTGTGTATACAAATTTTTCTTATGAAATGTTGCTCCAGTTTTTCTCCTCTAGGTCATATTTTAATATCATATGTTCAATTTAGATACACAATTCTTCTATACCGTAGTGTTATGACCTTTTAACGTCATATATTATGTTTATTATGTCTCTTAATTGTTTGGTGTGCTTTGTGTCTTGTTCTATTATTTATCCTATCTATAAATAAGGTATAAGGAGCAGATTCCTTAATTTTCTAGTTTTTTTTTTGTCGTTGGTTATCAGTTATTCCTCTTACTTAATTTGGATTTAGAATTTCTTTACATGAGAAAAGTTTCCATTTGGTTACCTTGATTCAGTACAATAATTTATTAGAGAGTTATTCTTTCATCATAGAATCTTAGTCTGTATATTAATGTCAATTACTTAAATCTTTTACATCGTTAGTTGATTCTGCTTTATCTACATTTTATAGAGTGATTATTGTTTACTATTCTATTTAAATAATTATTTACTGTCTTTTTGCAATTCCTCAACCATCATTTCTTTTTCTCTTATACATTCTTAAAGTTTGCTAATAACACATGAAGGTCATATAAAGTTAACTGACTTTGGACTCTCCCGAATTGGTTTAATGAATTTAGCTACTAATTTATATGAAAAAAATTTGGATTTGGAAAAGGACTGTAAAATGTTTCGTGATAAACAAGTATTTGGAACTCCAGAATACATTGCTCCAGAAGTGATTCTCCGTCAGGGTTACGGTAACTTTTTTTTCATAAATATTTTTTCGAATTTTTGTATTTAATCCTATGAATTCGTTTCTACTCTTAGTTATTATTTTAAGTTTATGTAAATTTTTGAAACTACTAGTAGTGGTAGTAAGTTTGCATTTGTTTTAATCATGCACTTATTCAAGTCAATCTAAGAGTCTTTGTTAAGTATCGAATTAGTTACAATTATTTGAATTACATTCAAGTTGTGTCTAGTAACTATAACTAAATGAAACGTTATACCTTTGATTTAATAGTACTCTGTATGTTCAGTAAGAAACTTCCACATCATATGTATGTCTGACATCTAATAAATGTGAAACACTTGAATTTTTCTTACTCTTGGGGAAAATTAAAAAGGAAAAAAAATCGTAATAAAAGAAGTAGAATTAATAAATTTTGAAAGCAAAACTATATCAAAATATGGTACCATCTTCATAACACCTTATCAGCTCAGCTATCTAACTACTTTATTGTCAATCATCTAGTCGAAGTAGCAGCCCATTAAACTACTTGAAAGAAGAACGTTTAAACCATGTATGACAGATGTTCCACTTGGGTCCAACCAAATTTAACTCCGTATAATCTGTTCTATACAGTCTGTTAGTGTCATGGACAAATAACAGGCGTGGATAGGTAATATAATTCACTGGCTAATCGATATTTTTTGTATGTTCAGAGATCGGACCTCTAAACTATATCATATTTCTCAAGATATTTATGCAGATTTTAATTGTTCATACATCTTATGTTCACATATTTACTCGTCAAATTTCAGTTTACCAACTTTTTTTATTTCCTGATAGGTAAACCAGTGGATTGGTGGTCTATGGGGATTATGTTATACGAATTTCTCGTAGGATGCGTCCCGTTTTGTGGTGCCACTATAGAAGAACTTTTCGATAATATTGTGACAGGTATATGTTATTTATATATGTATAATTAGTTAGCTAATCGAAATTCCAGGACAATCGACGAACAAAAATGTCACAAGTATTGTTTTTCTCCTATGTTTTCGTCCATCATTCCTTTCTTGTATTATGTAAAACAAGCTATTCGCGAAATTACCACATGTTTTCACGATCGATAATCGTCTTTTTAGGCACCCTTATTTTTCGGACACAGTTGGTAATCGATTTAAGAAATAGTGATTTCTCACCGTGTGCATATTTTATGTTTTTTTTTATTCAAGCTTCGATTTATTTTTCGCCTCATGCCTTATGTCTCGTGCAGACACGCGCATACTTTACATATTTACACGTTCATATATCTACATATTTATATGTATGTACTTGATTGTTTCAATGTAATTTATTTTAATGGTGCACGACCTGTAGGATAATTGTTTTTTTCTTTGTATGTCAGAAATTTTGAAATAAAAATATGAAAGAACTTTATTTCAAAATAACAAAAAGTAATATTTTTTTTATATTGGGGTAAAGTGAAATGCAATTGATTTTTGTTTTGTGTAAATTGCACTGTGTTCCGCTTTACGGATATTCAATGGTAGGTGTTCAAATACACTGGTAAAATTGTGTTTTTTTTCATAGAATTTAAACAAAATATCCAAATTTATATATAAACTATATATTACATCCCTATCTAATTTTAAATCTTCATCCATGTATATAATATCAAAGTCAATGAACTAAATTCCTTTAGTTGAGCTTACACACTAAAAAACGTTTTTTAAACTGATTTAGGAGGTGATTAGACTTATTACTGTTTATACACTTAAGAGCTAATCCGATTTGCATTAAATACCTATATTTTTAGTTGTAACATATACTAACTATTAATTAGAACTTTTTTATTTCCACTCGTAGCAATAAATATGATTCATCATAATGGCGTCTGATCAAATCTCGGTGTGAATTTAAAAAAAAAACTCGGTTAGGATTTGTCAACTTGTTTCACTTGTGGTTTAGGGAGAGATATCTATATCCCAACTAAAGAACGTGTATACCGCTCAGCAGTTTGCACCGTTATACTTTATGTCTTTGAAGACTAGTCCTTAAAAATAAAGGAGTATATTCGTAGGTTGCTAGTATTCGAAACATTTCCCGTGTATGCTAGGACTTACTAGGTTAGACATTCTAGGGTTGGACGCATGGTACTAGATGAAGATGGTAATTCAATAGATGCGGTGGTGCATCTTTACAGATTGATATAGTTAGATCATGTAACGCGTACAAAGATCCACCTACTACTTCGACTAGTGATGCTGGAAGATAGCTAGGGGTGGCCAAGCCTTCTCAACTGCCCATGAAGACACTGATTGCTGGAGTAAGCCATGCAGGTAAGTTAAAACCACCTGGTTGGTATCATTGTGATTATCGTAACAAGTAGTTAGGGACGTTGTGTAACGTGGTTGAGAATCGTTCGCAATGGCACAGGTGCATCCATTGTTTGTTCTCTCCTAGATCCTAAGTTCCTAAATTACTTTATAAATTTGTTTATTCCAATCATCCATATATTCTCGAGTTATATCTTCAATCCCTAGTCTTTTCCATTGCCACTAATACTGTTACTGCCTCTATTACTTTGGGATTTACCTGTACAATGTCATCTCGCAACTCTAGTGTGGTATGACAAATTCAACCGGTGTACACATGTACCAGGTCCAATGTTGCATATGACTAACTGATTCTAGTTATACAGTTATTAGATATCTAGTTGTAACAGCTATCAAATACCTGTTAAATATTTAAGGTGATTTTTAGTTTAGATCACTGACTAAAATTATTTGGATAACCACTATTTCGTCCTAGTATGGAACTACTCAATTGTGTTCATTCACAACTCCACCGGGTGAGTGAACCCAGAACCCTCAAATTTCTCGGTGACCCAGTAACCTTCAGAACTCTGAGCCGAGATCTAACGGTTTATGTACCTAGCTTCAATCGTTTTGTGTTGTTGGTGAGTAGCTACACGTTCGAGCTCCACTAGTCATGGCTTTTCAATAGTTTTTCGGAAAGTATCTCTGAGATCGTGGATAATGTCTTCTGAAAAGTCCCATACTAGGGGGAAACAGCCACTCAGTTTTTCTTGTTTTTCAATACTTATCTAGCTAAAGTCATTTCGCGATGTAAACTATTGAATGCAGCAACCTCCACTCCCCTTTGCACTGATTTCAAGATATAATCAAAGTTCACTCGGACTCATTCAATTGTACACTGAATATATATATATATATATATATATATATATATATATATATATATATATATATATATATATATATATATATATATATATATATATATATATATATATATATATATATATATATATATATATATATATATATATATATATATAGTCGTCTAGATTCATATTATCTTGATAATATTTACCACACATTTTTATAATTAAATATTTGATAAATTCATAAAATGATAAGGTGTATGAATTTTATCCTGTTATCATTCTTGGATTAATAAATTGAAAAAAGCTGTCATCATAGAATGATATATATTGACTCATATTTAAATAACATCAAGTGGTCTTAAAATTAGCTGAATAATCATTTTAGGCGCTCACTCAGTACAATATTACTGCTAATATTTCCATAAATAATTCAATTTTTCACTAGTTTTTATGTACTATTTTGTGGAGATTAATGAGATTATTCGGAATTAGTCACTAAATTAAAGATTCTACATTTTTTAGGTGAGTAAAGTGATTGATATGTCAGAATATTCTTCTATGTGGTTTCTCAAAAGTATGGTTATTTCAAGATATTTCTATGACCAAGGCGTATTACAACGTGAATCTTTAGAAATTATTGTGTTTTACCTGTTTAAGTAACACTACATAATGAATATACTTTGTACTGAATTATGAAAGGGTTCTGTAAGTGGTTGACGTGAATCATTCTTTTCTTGTGTTTTCAGCACCAATCGATTGGCCTGAGGAAGAAGAATGGAAAGTCACTCCATCAGCTGTGGATATAATAACTAGGCTTCTTGAGCGAGATCCTCTACTCCGTCTTGGAACTATCGGAGGTTCATCCGAAGTTAAAGAAACTATATTCTTCTCTGGTCCTGGTGCAGTAGATTGGAAAAACTTATTGAGACAAAAAGCAACTTTTGTACCTCAACTTGAACATGACGAAGATACTTCGTATTTTGATCCACGTACTGATCGTTACAAACATGATGTGGAAAACGATGAAGATGTATACATTCCTATGGATTATGGTGTGTATAGCAATAGATCTTCCCCTGCACCCCATTTGTCGGTTTCTCGAAATTTCAGCTTTAATTCTTCTGCCGATCAAAGTCTAACGAATATCATCCGGCGACCTGCAGCTTCTCGTCTTGGACGCGCTAAACAGCAAGCTGCTGAACATAAACGTAGTCACAGTTTGGGGGATAGTAATAATTTGTTTGTTCGGTCATTTAAGTCTCGTTCCAAAAGTCGAAGCATCCGTGATTCACCTATAAACACCCCACAGTCATTTATGCATTCAGAGCTAAGCAGTCCTAGTTCTCAGCGGTCTTTATGCCAACAAAAATATGATCCTGAAAAGATTGAACACGATTTGGTAACGTCTACTTTAACTGCGGAATCTGTTGCAAGTCGTAATGCTTTACACTTATTGCAAAACTTATCATTAACCTCTAGCATCATAGAAAACTCTACGTCCTCAAAGTTAGCAAATGAGAATAGTATTCATAATCAACAGTCTATGACTTCCGGAATTAGATTAGAAAAGTTGAATATAGATGTTACCAAATCTGAAGTTAGTGATGATGACCACGATGACAATCAGAACATCACTGATGAGTCGCGTACATTTCACTATTTTTCTTCCTATTCACCTCGTTTCTCCGTTGTTTTGGAACAAGCTAGAATGAATGAACTTCGCAACAATTCCAATACGAGTTTGAACTCTAACGATGTTGATCCTGTCAGTGAAAAGAATCCGCCTCATACCTCATCTCGTATCAATCTGGCATCATCCAATAATTTTAATATTAAACGTGGGAATTCTGAACTTCCTAAAGGGACCTGTACATTTGCTGCAGATAAACAACAGTCAATTACAAATAAACAAAATATAATTTCTTCTGACCAGTCATTGAATAATTTTCAAATTAACACTAACTCATCAAATGTAAGTACTTCTATTACTATGTTATCACTACAGTGTAATCAAATTTTTTCCATACTAAGTTGATTTCTTTCCCCTGTTAGGCTGAATGGTACCTCTGATTTGTAGTCTGAATAAACACAATTCGGCTAAATAAAAAATTACTTGGTTCTAGGATAAGTCGATTAATAATCTCCATTCTCATTATGAATTTTTTTTAATGTTTGTCAAACTTATTCAAATAGACATTCTATAGTAAATGTTAATATTTAATTGTATATCATGCTTTTTAATTTGATTGATATTGAAAATAATCCGTTTTTAAACATACTTTCCCATTGGTGTTTTTAGTTTCAGTCATCTGATATACCAAGTGCTCCTGAATCTTTCAAATGTGACCAGTTCTCTTCTGAAATTGTTAACCCAAGCGTTATTATCCCCTCAATCACTCACACTGGTACTGAAAATGCTACTCCCATTCTGTTAAACATCAAAGAGTCAGATAAATTTCATTTTATTTCTGATGCTAGTAAACATTCAAAATCTTCAGAATCGGATTCTAATTCTAGTTTAGAGCTGTTTCAAAATGATTCGAGCATCCGCTCTTTTGGGAACTCTACAAGAGAAGATGAACCAACAATATATCAACCAATTACTCTTATCTCTTCTGAATCTGTTGAAAAACCTCCACTAGTGCCCATAAATTGCCCTAACCTTGAACATTTCGCTAGTCACACAGCCTCGCATTCATCGACTTCAAGTTCATCTTCATCTAAATCCTCACTTTCACTGACAACCCTCACTCCTCACCTAACTCCTCATACAGAATCACTTTTCTCTCCTATAGGTGACCATGATTCTACTTTACATAAAGGTCCATGGTTTCTTAATGTTGATTTAAAGCCAGATGAAGGACATTTGAATGTCTGCCCTTATCAACATACTCCTCGTTCGTTTATGTCCTTTAAAAGTACATCACCTGTACTCAGTCAAAGTAGTGGAACTTCCACAACCAAATCAGATATGTATTGCTCTTATTCACCATCCTCATCCGGACCCTTGATTTTCAACAATCCTTCACGTGTTATGCATCTTCCGGTTTCTCCTGTGGGTCACAACCCTCCTTCTTTGCGACCTTTCATGCCTTATACACTTGGAATTCCTCGCCAAGCAATCATAATCAATAAAGGTAAACAAGGCTTTGGTTTCGTTTTCCGAGCTATTCGAGTATTTTTTGGTCTATCAGATGCATACACATTGCATCATCTTGTACTTGGAGTTGTGCCTCATGGTCCAGCAGCCAAAGCCGGCTTAAAAGAAGCTGATTTAATTCTAAGTGTTAACGATGTATCGACAATTGGAATGTATCATACAGATGTTGTGAAGCTAATTTTACAGGTAATTCATGAATAATCGATGTATTGATGTTTTTAATGCTAATCACTGATAGTTCTTTTAAGCGTAAGTCAACAAAACGAGGTTTTTCACAATTATTGCATAAATACCATTATTAAGATATACTGTTAGGAACAAATGTAGTTAAGGCATTACTAAACACCTAGATATTTATTTCAAGAAGCTTGTACTCTAATGTACCTTATTACTGATGCTGGAAACAAAATAAAACCAAAAATAGGTTCTCATCACCTTTGATTAAAAATCAGATTTAATAAGTTTGCTTCTAAGTATTCAGGTTTTTAGAAAGGAAATCAATACTCTGGACTTCATAGCTATCTTTCTGTAGTTATATAAAATATAAATCCATAAAATGACTTAATATTAACAAATAGTTCTCATTTTGAAAGTTTATATTCATGAGAAATGATCAGTTCTCTTAATATCGTATGAAAAGTATTTTAATAAAAGAAATATGAACATATTTCTCCATTTCAGAAATAAAGATCTGACCCAATGTATGGCAAATAGATAGTATTGCAAATATGTTTTGAATCATGTTAGCTACTTTAATTCGTGTCATACTGTTGCAGTGTCGGTTATTATGTTAAGCCCATATAACTTATTCTAGTTTCTCGACAGGCCAATTTATCCATTATTCTTGAGTCACGTTTTGACCTTGTTAATTTTTCACTTATCAATCCTGACTGTTTTTATATGAGCGTATGTGTGTGTGTGTACATCTAATCTTACTCTCACATGTCTGTAGTTTATTTTTATGTGACGATAAATAATAATTAAATCGAGTTGGCTCACATGCCTTCTCCACTGTACGTCATTTCACTTAGCTCCTTCTTCTTTGTTTCGTCTTCCTGACTTTATGTTCAAATCAATGAGTGTATGAAATATACATATTCAAAATCCATTCTCGTATTCAGTTTATTTAATTCCGTTATATTTACTAACACAGACTAAGTCGATAATAATATACAAAAATAGTCAGGATGTATATTTCGACAGCAATCATCCATACGATCTACTTGATCCTAGGCCACTAAACTGTAATTCATAGTGTTTCTGTTTCTAATCATTTGATTTCAGTTAATCATTAATAATAGTTAACTACAAAATTAATTGATTATATATCAAAAACAAATGTTTTAAATAGATATATCCCGTTGTGTTACATTGAAAACTAACATCTTATGTAAATTATTTTTAATTTGGGATATTAGTCTTTAAAATTTAATATTTAATGGTTATTATACATCGTATTGGTTAGGTAGTTCTAGAGTTTCAGACTAATTAAATCAAAGATTCATGTCAATTAATTTACACAGAATTTACTTAATCAACTTATCAATTATTTGATATCTGATGTATATTTAACTTGAATTTGAAAAATAATATGTTAATTCACACGAAACTTGATGGAAACTTTGGAAAAGGTCAATATATATGTCATATGACAATAAAAGCTTTAATGAATGATCCTATATCATTGAAATGAAATGAGAAGGGGGTCTATAATGTATAATTACTAATATAAGAAAATGTTTAAATTCATCACTTTCCTTAAGTAATTGGAAAATTTTAGCTTGCATTAATCTTTTTTTTCTAAAATAATAATGTCGTACCAACTTTTTATGTGTATCTTTACCAATACCAAGTGTACGTGATCTATTTTAACGTTTAAACCTATTTAAAATCATTTTATCAGTAGTAGTAATAATAACGCGTTTTGTAGCATTCCACAAAATGTATAATTATTAATCGGTTGTCCGTTCTGTCATTTGTTTTTTCTATTTTCATTATAACTAAAACAAAATATCTAGAGTGGGACTACTTTACGTCTGCATGCAACTCCTATTAGTCAAACATTTATTCGTTCTGATGGACCATATCGTTCTTCTGGTCGTCTTGTACCACGTGTTACTTCATCTCATCTATTGAATAATAATAGTAATGGTAAGAATAATTACACTACAAGATACTCAAATCAAATTCCAGATAAACACACATGTACATCTTATACACCATTTAATCCCTTGATGAGTTGTCATTCTAATTCTCCCGAAATAATACCCAAAGATGTTTCATCACTACCTTTTGATGGTAAATCATATGCTTCCGTATGTGCATCAAATAGTTCAAGGCACACCAATGAAGTTGCTAAACGCATAACTCGACGTTTGACAATTAGAGAAGCCCGTCATCGTCATTTAAATAATGGAGCTTACGAATCTAAAGTTCAACATATACAACCAGATACCAATTTAAATTGTATTCATCAATCAGACTCAATGCCGAACAATGCATATATGGATAAATCGAAATTTTGTTATTCTCAGCCAGTAACATGTTCTAAAGGATCTGCTCAAACCTACGCTTCTGTTGCTGCTCAACGATTTGGTATTTCTCTATGTCAAACCTCTACACACCCTATAAGCTCTAACTCAATTTCTCAAAATAATATTATGTTTTTTCCAGCACATCGTAGGTAGGTTTGATTTTTATGTAGTTAAAGTTGACATTTTTTGTTTACCGCTCATGAAACCAACAGTGACCGACCCGTTTCGAGCTTATGCTGTAAATGAAAAACTTGCATTCTTCCTCCTCGTTAACGATACTGTATGTATCTAGTTGTAGTATGGCGTTTTAACTTGACAGAATTTAAAATATTTTTCTTGCCTTCCGAACACAAATGTTGCTTCAGGGTCTCATTATCTTCGGTGTTCATTTTCAAAATGGAGCAATGCATCAATATTATTTCTAGCAACTCCGACCTCAGCAAGTGGTGAAAGAAGCTAAGATGAAAGTTGAACAAAGGTCTATGTAATGATATGAAATAGTAAAGTGTAACTTTAGCTAAAGAGATTGAAGCCTGGCACCATTCGATTACCAACTACTATTTTGACGTAGTAGAAACCAATCCAAAGAGTTAACTGTCATGTCATATATAACATTGTGAAACCACTCAGCTTGCCAAACTACCATACTATAGTTGCCGACCTTATAATATTATGAACGGACAACTGACACTAACCCCCTTAACTCCTACTAGCAGACCTTTTCTTCAAAATGGTAGTCAGGAATTAATAGTTGAATTAATGCTGGTGTTAAATTAGGTTTCGGATTATGAAATCGTGCTTTTAACTAATTTGTTCGGCTAATATGATATCAAAGAACCCAACTTTTCTTACTATGCCTAAACAGAATTCAGTTTGGCTAAAGTAATCTGCAGCTCTAGAATAACAAACTAACTAGATTCAATCAGTTTTTAGACGTACAAGAAGGTTTATTTGGCAAGCTTTCACTATCAACCAAATTATAGAAAAACGACATACCCTTTTACAAAACGCAAATACATAACTCCATTGATTGGCAGTTGTGGTTTATAGAGTACGATGAACCATAAACTTGTGAATAGAGTTGGGGAATTAAGAAGGTCAGGAGTCAAAAAGGCTTTGTGATCAAATGAGGTCAAATGAGTTGACTACTTATTTTCAGGTCCCCATTATAAGCACTGATGTCATTGATTCATCTTTCTCATGAGAGTGAAATATATTCTTAAGCTTCAATATTTCGAGTCCAACTCTTTACGAAGTTGAAAAAGCTATATGAAATCTGAAGCGTGGGAGAGCAGCAGGCCCTGACAGGTTTACCCTTGAGATTTTTAAGGATGGCGGTCCACTATTAGCAGCGAGATTAACTGAGGTCTTAAGTAGAATTTGGGAACTGGATGTAATCCCACCTGACTGGTCTCAATCTCTGATCGTGCCAGTCTATAAGAGAGGGCAAACGTCCTCTGGTGACAATCACAGAGGAATCAATTTGACTAATATAGTGTCTAGCTTCAATAATACTTTGACGCCTAACCAAAGCTCGTGAAGAGCAGACTAGAGAAAACTCGGCTGGTTTCCGACCTGGACGTGGCTGTATAGACCAGATATATAGAAGGTTCGACTAGTTTTTGCCAACTTGCGTCATTTATGGCGTAGGCTAGATATCTGTCTACCAACCAAAGGACGGGTTTACTGCGCAGCAGTTCGTTCCGTCCTACTTTATGGCAGTGAAACATGGCCGGTAAGAGTAGATATTCGTAGATTACTAGTATTCGATCATAGGTGTCTTCGAAACATTGCTCGTATATCCTGAGACCACCGAGTAAGTAGCTCAGTTGTTAGGAAACGGGTACTAGGTAAGGATGGCAAATCAATTGATGAAGTAGTGAAACCTGATCAGTTGACTGGGACACGTGTTACGTATGCCCAACGACCGACTGCCCCGACGTGCGATGTTTTATGGTGTAGGAGTAGGTTGGAAGAAAGATAGGGGTGGCCAGACCAAAACGTGGCACAAATACATGAAGTTACTGACAAGTGGACTGAGCCATGTTGGTAGGTGTAGACTAGCTGGTTGGGATCGGCGAGACAATAGCAACCGATGGTTAGGAACCCTGAATGACATGGCTCAAAATTGTCTGCAATGGCGCGGGTGCATCTACTCTTTGTGTTCTCCCAAATTCTAGTCTCCTGAATTCTTCATGTCCCTTTTTTTCCTCATTCCAAATTTATTTCACTGGATTATACTCTTTAAATAACATCTTCAAACCCTAATGTTTCCGATTACTGCTTATACTTTTACTACCTCTATCTGTGTGCTAATGTGGTATGGCAACTCGAACTGATGTATGTACGTACTAAGTTCAACGTTGTTACTGACCGACAATATTTCAAGTTGAGCTCTCCAACATCAAACGAAGTTACTGTTAGAACGGCTTTGAAGGTTGCGGCGGATCCTCCAGGGGTACTAAAGGACCCAAAGAAATCTCGTCCATTAAATACCTAACGGAACTTTCTAGAATATCAACGTACCTGCTGTGATTGGACAATCGCATAATTTTCTTACTTGCAGATAAGCTGTATGGTCAATTCTAACTACTATAGATTCCCCGTTTTTCTGTACATTTTTTACTCTTACATACTAAACGCTTCCTTTGTTTCTTTCATCTTTTGATTTGTTACTGTGGGGTTCTGCACGTTCGATGGCCGATAGTTGTATACCGTATTCTGCTGTAATCATGTGGAGAACGTAATAGTTACCTGTGATGGTTTGTATTTCAATATATCCTTCTAGTCGTTATGTCGCTAATTATTAGAATTTTAGTACTTATTTTACTGCAAAACTGTTGTTTTTATCTGAGTGGCATACTGTTTGTGATAAATTAAAGTGTAACATTTGGCGACTTTTGTTATATCGACTATTTTTACTCTATATACTGCAAATGAGAAGGAAAATACATTGAACGTTCGGGCGATCGATCAATCAATTTTCATACATTTTTTTAATGCGGTGTAGATACTGGTAAATTGAACTAATTTCTAATACTCTATTACACCCGTTCCCTCTCGTGGGGCATAGGCCCCCGACTGGGTTACCGTTTTTTTACCAATTTTCTTTTCTACGGAACGAAATCGCTAACCTGATAGCCAATACTTCTCCTTTATCCAAACTTGAAACTGAAATAGCTTTAAAAGGGCTCTAGGCGGAGTTTTCCAATACTCACAATTTTCATAAAACATCTGAGAAAACAGATTAAACAATCCAATCCCTATCTCTACAGAGTTGCAACTAACTTTGTTAAACTTGTCTTAATAATTACCTTCTTACTTTGAGTAAGCAAAATATAATGAAACTTAAATTTCTATGAGCGTGTACTGTTATTAAAACCCTTTTAAAATATTTTGTTCGTAATTCATTAAACTACGGCTTCCGTTTTATCTCTTTAGATCCCTTGAGAAACCTCTTATTCGTCAGTTGAGCGAACGACAACACCGAGCTATGTTTTCCACGCCTGATGATATGTCATTAACCAACAGTCCCACAGTGTATTCTCCTCGTAATATAATCCCTTACAGTTCACCTAATCAAAGTCCTAGGTCTGATCATTTTCAGAAACAAAATGTATTCAGTTTTCATAGACCATCACTGACTGTCACTCCAGGTTTTTCTGGTTCTTCGTTCTCTTCTGGTTGGTGTTCAGGTGGAGACTTATCTTCACATAGTTCTCCGGGTTCTGGTAGTTCATCTTCTGCATCAGTTCCTCGACCTTGTGATTCTACTCATTCATCTTTAAATCCATTTCAACAGGGACGTTTTGGTAGCCTACGGGCCTCATGTCATTCGGCTAATCATTTCCTCAATTCGAATTTGGATAATTCATCAATGAAACTGACGTCCGCCCGTCAACAAGCGCCTAAATCGACATTTGTTACACAAAATTCAAATGGGTCTCAATGTAGACACAGCGATCCTATTCGACATGTTAAAGTAAGTTAATATTCTATCCAATACTTACTTTTGTGCACCAAGTTTGTTTTTGTCAATCGATAACGAAATGATTATCTACTGTTGCTTGAGTATAATTTAACTGGTAATTATTTCATATTAAGACCTGGAATTGCTTCCCTGTATACAGCAAAATTAACACATAGAGTTATCATTAATTTCATATAAAAATATAGTTGTTTTTTGTTTGTATCATTTGAAATTTGTTCACTTTTTCTTTTAGATTTCAAAAGATACTCGAATCGTTTGTTCCGTTGTACCTAACGTGCAAAATTCCAACAACAATTTGTCTGCATCAATCCAAACTCCTGCTTTTACCCCGCCGCCACCACAGACTGCTATTCAAAAGATCGACTCAGATAAATTCTCAATTCAAGCAAATGCTTTGGTATCATCAGGTCAAGTTAAGCTACGTAGGCATAGTCATCGATTTGCCGTTCAACATGTAACTTCACCAAAAAGTCCAGCTGAAAGTAGTGATGAAAAATCCAAGAATTAATAATCATTGTTGAATTTCTAGTATTCCGATGTTAAGATGTCTTTTTTCCTCCTATTTTTTTCTCTCACTTTAGGTTTATTCAACTATCATCCCGATTGATTGAGATAGAATCGAACATATTTAAATACTGTGATTGTTATTTATTTATTTTTTTGAGTACCACTGGGATTCGAAATTATACTCATGAGGAAATTTGTTACGATTTTTCAATGTAATTCGACTCTCCCGGTTATCATTGACTTGTTAAATTTCATGTATCTCTGTTCATATTTCTCTTTATTCAATTCACCTTTTGTTGTATTGTCTTGGTCGTTATAGTTATTTTCTCTATTATTTAATGAATAATTATCATTATTTTATTCATACACTACATATCTCAATAAATTGTTCATTCATCATATAGTATTACAATTTGTTCATATTGAAGTTGATCATCTATTATATGATTGCTTCACTATGCCCCACATTCCTTGTAATACAATACTCTCGTGTTTGTTGTAATAATGCAATTGTTATTGAAGTCAGTTACATTTTTAACGGTATCCATGGTATCAGTATTGTATTTCTTTTCGTTTATGACAATTACTATGATTTGTGATCGTGTCTTCCTTTCTTTCCTCTATCATATCTTTTCATAAATTGATCAATTTATTTATGGATTTCTTTTTTCAAGGGGGTGTACACATAAAACTTCCTTACATATGTGTATGTGGGTCTATTCAATCAAAAGCTTTTATTTGCTAACATGAACATACGTTGCTAAACCTATTCACCAACTACTTGTACAGTTCTCTTAAGCTACACTACTTTTTTCTGTTTCTTTATTATTATTATTATTATTGACTTTTTGTTGATTGGTTACACATTATACGCACTTATGTTTTAGTCTTTTTCTAAAATGTATCGTTAATTCCTCTTAGCTTTACTGTTGCGCAATTTGCTGTACTTTTTCAAAGATTGTGTGACCAAGGTAATTGGAAAATTAATTATTTATCAGTTTATTTACTTATATGCTTCTACCATTGTTCATTGGCTCTTCCCTCAAATTTATTTCTACCTGCTATATTATTATTCACTCCTTGATTTTAAGTTGTTTTTCATATATATATATATATATATATATATATATATATATATATATATATATATATATATACTTTTGCGATCAATTTATAAAGATTTCTTTCATCTGTGACTAATTTTTATCATTTGTTGTGTTTTAAACGTGTGGGGTTGAGGGGATCTATTGAAAAGTTACTTAGTTTCACCGTTTATTGTTAGTTTTGTGTTCATTTCACCGTCATCTAAGCTTTTGCGTCATTACTGCACTACCAGTTGATATAATCAAGTAAATGATAAACATTTCGGAAATTTTCTTTATCATATACATCTTTAATTAAAACAGAAGTGAGATTCTCAAGATTTGGTTATTCAAATGTTACTGAATGTAAGAAGTACTGTTTAACAAACTAGCTCAGTTTTCTTCACTAAATTAATCCTACATGTTAGCATGGGGTTATAGAAGATGTTCACGCAGTTTCGTGGATTGACTGAAGTTAGACATAAACACAGTTGGTTGTCGGCTCTGTGATCTGGAGGTTAAGCGCTCGCACTCGAGCCCGAAGGTCCTTGGCTGGATCCCGGGATTGCTGACTTACTGCCGACCAATCCCATAATATGACGAAGTGGGCGTCCAATGCTTCCTGGTTTCCAATGGTGGTCTAGTTTATATCGGGTCATGATTTCAATGATCTTAGATGGTTCGAGAATGCACAGGACTGATAGGTTTTCCGCTTATGAAAACTACCTACTTTGTTAAGTTAAACAAGAAAAATATGTTCGTACTTCGTGAAATAAAAATCTTCCTTACTTTATCTAATTCACGAATTTATGAGATAGACATTTTATTTACCTATTTAGCCAGCTTATTGCGAGTATTGATATGTTGTTTGTGTGATAGTTGTTCACTGATCAACTCTATAATTTTATGCTTCAGTCGTGTAAAATCAATATTTCATACACATAGTTCCCTTTATTATTTTAAAGAGAGCAAGAACAAAGGTTAGTGCAGAAAAGCTTAGATTGCGGTGTGGGTGAGACGAGGTATTGGTTTGCGGTATCGACTAGTTTAGATTTAAACCAGCCTTTCTTTTCTTCGCTAACTGGGTGCAAATCTTTAATTTGATCAAATAAATTTGCAAACCAATACCTCGTCTCACCCACACCGCAATCTAATCTTTTCTGCACTAACCTTTGTTCTTGCTCACTTTAAAATCAATATGTTTGTTGAATAAATTTTACTTTTGCTACCTTTATTTTAACATCAGTCGATTTTCCTATAAAATGTCTCACTATGTCCAACAAATTTTCCTATTCCATATTTTATTGTATCGTAACTTATCATCTAGAGTTATATAAATTTAAATAATCTATCAGTTCTTCATTATTCACAATCCCGTTATTCTGAAACCAGGAATATATCTGGGTTAGTAGTGCATTTCATTAAATACGTAAGAATTCATGTCTCATTTAGATGACTGTAGCATTCCGCATTATGCTATTGGACGGAAATCGTGATTCGATTGATCGTTGACTTTTTAGTTGTCTTCTAGTACAATATCGAATCAGAAACTATTAGTCAATATCTTATCATAAGTTAAGCTTTATTATTGTTAACTATTGAAAATATAAGTTAGTATACAATTCTATTTTTGTTTAAATAAACAAACATACGGTTAACCTAATTTTAATAAATCATAGTTCACAACACATGTCATTACGCAAGTTATTTATGTTCATTTGGTTTGTGTTACATTTATTAGGACGTAATTATTTTATTATCAATTCGATTCATTGCCAGAGTGCACAGATACTTCGAAATCTGGAGTTTTGATCCGTACATCTGATCTGTGAACTTGAATTTGTTCTTTCGGACTCTGTATTCTCGTTCTATATGGAACTTTCATGTCATCCTGGCTACTTGATTCTTGTGATGTTTGATCATTTGACAATCGATTCGGAGATAAACTCTTATAATTAACATGTCTACGTTGCCGTTCATATGAAGTTACAGTACGTCGTCCATTAGATTTTAAGCTTGCAACATCTCGTGATTCACGTATTGTTCTCCGTCTGGGTGATAATGAGCATGCATATGCTCTTCGGCTTGGTGATGTAGACTTGACTAAACTAAGCTCACCTCTTCTACGGTCCAATTCAGCGTTAAGAAGCCTACCTTCTGTTTCAGCCTGTGATCGAAGCTTTTAAATGGGACAGAAGTAAAAATAGAACCAATTCATATTTAATTCTTATTAAAAAGCATTTTATCCGATTCATGCAACTAGTAACTTGAATCTACCCTGATAACAGAAAAATTAGCTTAAATATCTGAGAGCCTGAAGTGATTTCACATAAAAATAATTTTCAGTCCCAAACTTTTGGAAAACCGTTAAAATCAGTCAGCAACCACATATTTGTCTCATCTTTGTTTAGTGTGCTTGGTTAATATTCTCCAGTGATGTTTCTACCAATTAATGATGCAAGATAGATATGACTTATTGCACTTATTCCGTTCTGTTTTACTTTACGGCAGCGAAACATGGCCTTTAAGAGTAGAAGACACCCGTAAGCTACTAGTATTTGATCACAGATGTATTAGAAATATTGCTTGCGTCTGTTGGGATCACCGGGTAAGTAATAGTGAGGTTAGACGCAGGGTATTAGGTAATGATGGTAAATCAGTTGATGAGGTTGTTAATCTCCATCGACTGAGATAGTTGGGCCACGTGTTACGTATGCCTGAACACCGATTACCACGTCGTGCAATGCTAACGGGTGTTAGAGATGGTTGGAAGAGAATTAGGGGCGGCCAAACCAAAACGTGGCATCAGCGCTTGAAGACACTAACCTCTAGTCTGAGCCACGTTGGAAGATGCAGACTACTTAGTTGGGGTCCGCGTGACTTTCGTAACTGATGGTTGGAGACTTGGTGACATGGCTCAGAATCGATGACAATGGCGTCGGTGCATACACTCCCTGTCTTACCTTAAACTAAGAGATTAAAATCCGGTGTTCATCTTGCTGTGCTAATGAGGATGCATATATGTGCCTGGTCCTACGTTGTAGCTGACTGACTTATTCTGAATCGATCTGTCATAAGCACGGAGATACAGTGACTTTAGTAAATAATTAATACATAAATCGATCTAATAATGTGTATTGCTATCCTTAATAGCATTTATTTCTTCGGTTATCTTAAGTTCAGCGTAGTAATTATGTTATTCTCAATTGCCTTCATCAATGTTATACACTTACTCGAATTGCCTTGGTTAAACTGAGCATAATTTCAGCTAGTTTGTATTCCTCTCTTGTTACCACTCGACGTTTCTCCATCTGCTCTGCGAGATGTTGGATCTAAATTTATGAAAACAACTCAACATGAGAAATTTATTGTATAATCGACATTATCTTAAACAAGTAGTAATCCTTGGCTATGAATAGCCTTTACTGGCGATTGTATGTCTGGACTGCACTGAGGTGTGATGGTAGTAAGTTATGTCTCATGAGTAACCAATACTGCTACTGGCTTTCTATAGACCAAATGAACGGTTAGAAAATGTTGGTCACAGAGTTCAAAGTGTGTGAGACCGATGTTGTAAAGCACGAAGAGATTACTTACAGAAGTTCGTACATGACTTGTCTCAAAATATTTTTTTGGGACTTTATGGTCGTGCTTCCAAGTGGACGAGATCAAACGGATCAGTCCATTTTTCTCAGATTATTTAAGATTTTTCGCCACACCTTTAACGCATGTCATAATATCTTTCAGCTGGTTAAGAATTTGTGAAAGATCATAGATGATCAGATGGATATGTTATATTTGTCTATGAAGTCATTAGTTTTTAGTTTGAACTTTACTGGAAGGTGTAAATTTCAAAGTGTAGAATGCAGGGCAACTATATACTTTCTTTAGACGCTCAAGGTGGCAGTCGCAGTTGCAC